GACACCTGTCTTTCAAACCAAGACACTGGATAAAAAGGGCCTCCTGGGGCTGTTTTGTCTGCACGTCAAGCGACAGAAGTTTAAATATCTAGTGAGTGGAGTTCTGTCCTGAAGTCCTCAGCAAACCGTTAGGCCCTTCTGCAGGAAACGAGCTGAACCTCTCCCAGAGCAACTTCCACCTGCGGCAGCAAAGGAAAGCAACCTGCGACCTGCCACCTCCTACAGATCTATAGGGTTGGCTGGGAAGGCGCCTTCTGTGGCACTGACTAGAGGAGGCTCCATGGAAAATGAAAACACTAATCAAGAATGGGTTTTGATGGACCAAGTGAGGGCCTGGTTCTGGGGGAATCCTGAGTATCCCTAAGTCTGGAGTAGACAGTAGCCTCGGGACCAGGTCTGTATTTTCGAAGCAAATTCATGTCACACATCGTATCTGCTTCCTAAACGCAAAGGCACTGGTAAAAATGAAACCTACCTCTTTCACTAACAGATGGACCCCTTCAGGCTGGCTGCTCTGAATAATTTCCAAGAGTATCGGAGCAAACGTGGAGCTCAAGCCGCTGATCTGAAAGGAGCAACGAAAGCTCTGCAGGAGCAGGACACCACGGACAAAAGGGACTCCTCGTGGCACAGGAAGGGAGTCCATTGCGGCGGGAGCCTGGGGCAGTCGGCCACTTCACCGGAGAGGCACCTTCTGCCGCGGGCGCACCCCTCTCGCATACAGCGCGGCCCAAAGCGCTCGCTTCGGCTCTCCCCTGCGAGCGCTGTGCCTCCCGCCCCTGCCCGCACCCTCTCCTGGATGGAGAGGCTTAACGGTGCATGAAGGTCTTAACGGAGGTGAGACTCGGATACAAAGGCTGCCGCGGCGAGCCTGCAAGCCCCAGCGTTAACCCCGCACCAGCTCTCTCCCCTGGGAGCGTCCACCTCTAGGTTTAAAAGGTAATTCAGCAGAGGTTTAGCATACAGCGAGGGAACACTGTAAACCAGGAAAAAGTCACTGAGGACAAGTAACTACGGTACACTTTTGAAGCTGGCCCTGGTACTGATAGTATTTTAAAATTTCAACTACTTTGTCCAATCACTCATCCTTAAACGTGACTTTTCTACCCCTCGTATCAAGTATTCTGCGTAAAACAGAAAATAAATCTTCTGGCTGAAATACACCAACCAGGAACCCCCCCCCTGCTTCTACTCTGTGAGTAACCCTCAGCAAGGAATCCCATTAGACTTCTTTGTGCTTCAGCTGACGCACAAATCACGCCTTTCCCTTGTTCAAGGGGCTTCACTCCAGGCGTTAAGGGGTTTTGAGAGCCTGAGGTAGGGCGTGTTGGCCAAGAGCCGCGGCGCTACCAGCGAACGCCAGCTCCTACCTGGACAACCCTCTGATGGGTAGTAAGGACCGCATCCAGCTGCATTTTGGAACCTCGCTCTTCCAAGAACAGCACTTCGTTGGTTTTGGTGGGCATGGCGTAGCTGCAGGAACCACAGAGCAGCGCTTAGGACAGGGAGGATGGGTTCGTCCTGCTTTACAGGAATGAATCAACCTCCAGCAGTAGAGAATGTGGAAGGAGATTAACTTTTCATGAGAAATTAATTATGCAAACAATGTATCTTGCGAATCAAGCGCTGGCAGAAGCCGGGTGTTTTACTGGAAAGAGATAAGGGAGAAGCTTCCAGCACTATTGCCAGCAAAAACCTGCTTCAGCTACAAACACCAGCCTGAGAAGAGAACTTTTAACTACTTTATGGTTGAAGGAGAGCTTGAAAGCAACAGCTCTGACTTATTTTGTCATCTGTCCAGTGGAAACAGAGCTAAAAACCACTGCTGCAACACACCACCCAGAGGACGTTATTTTCACCTCCAAATTTAGCAGGATCAGGCCCTGGCTCAGACTCTGCTCTCCAGTTAGCCTCACTCCAGAGACCTCAGCCTCCCCACCTCCGTTTGCACAGCATCGGTAACAACAGGCTACGTCCCCCAGCCCATGTTTCACCCTATAACTCTTGCTCTTAAAGGGCAAATCATTTTTTTCTGGACATACTGAACTCTTGGCCCACCAAGTCCAACCTCAGAGGGCACAGGTACGATACGAGGTCGTGACACTTTACACTGAAGCGCTACCAACGGTCTCAGGCCGTGGGGTTTCTCTGCGAACGCCTGCCGGGTGTCCTTCTCGAAACAAACACCTATCAGTCAGCCATTTTAGTGCTGTTTGGTGCAAAAGACATCCCAGAGCGATGACAAGCGACTGACCTACGGGCCCAGGATTTCAGATCCACAGCTGACAGCTCAGCAAAGCGGGTGAACATAAAAAGAACGACAGGTTTCACCGGCAGGAGCAGGAGCCAGCGTTTATACCCGGAGGTACAGTTACAAGACACCCAGTGCAGAGAATCACCACCAAGTGGTTTTGCTTCCTTACAGCGCTTCTCCCAGGGACTACAGCTCCTGGGGAACACCGCAGGCGCCAAGGAGATGTACCATGTTCCTCAGGCTCCTTCCAACCAGCAAAGCTGCTACCAGGGGGACACCTGCTTCGGAGAGCTCACGTGCGACTGAAGCACCTTTTGCTGCTAAACTAAAGCAGCAGGTAGCCCCCCCCCTAGTCTTCGGGGGTCTCCCAAGCTCATTCTAGTTTGTATAACCAGTATCACGTGCTTGCTGTGCAGTATTGACAGGACAAGGAGTCATGGTTTTAAACTAAAGGAGGGTGGGTTTAGACCTGATATAAGGAAGAAATGTTTTGCAACGAGGGTGGTGAAACACCGGCACAGAGAGGTGATGGAAGCCCCATCCCTGGAACACTCAAGGTCAGGCTGGACGGGGCTCTGAGCACCCTGATCCAGCTGAAGGTGTCCCTGCTCCCTGCAGGGGGCTGGACTAGATGGCCTTGAGAGGTCCCTTCCAGTCCAAACCCTTCTGTGATTCTACAAATCTATGTGCAGAGCCTGGATGAAACACTGTAAAGAAAAAAGAGCAGCAAAAGTCAGCAATACTTAAGCCTCCATCCCCGGGCTCAGCACCCACAGGCTTAAGCCTTTCTCTCAAAGGAACAAAAAGGAACGGCTATTTTTTTTTTTTCCTTGAGATCTGTTCAGTCAGTGCCTGAACAACTCCGTTTCAGCCTTCCTTAGACGAATCAAGCATCCAAACCCCGCACAGACACACCAAGAGAGAACACCAGGCAGAGGACAGAAGATTTGGATTGACATGTAAGGAATCTATCAGAGAGATTAGATGGTGCCCTTGTCCTCATCTGCGCGCCTCACGGGGCCCAACGGCGAGGGGTGACACGGGCAGAGCCGCATCCCTCGTACCTTTCGTTCACTCGGACGGAGAGTCGGTTGCAGAGCCGGTGCACGTACTGAGCAAAATGCTCCACGAGGCACAGATCGTAGGAAGTCATCTGGATGTTGATGTCTCCATACTCGTGTTCAGTCCCAACATTGATCTTTTTCATCTGTACTCGATCCTTTTTCTTCTTTGGAGCCTGTAGTAAAAAAAAAAAAAAAAGGAAAGAAAGAAAAAAATAGCAAGCCTATGTGTGTCGAACAAAGCTGGAAATAAAAAACATCAAGTCCTGCCCACAGAGGAGACCATGCTAGGGTACCTTCTCCCGACAAAGGTTTGCTGAACTGTGTCGAACATATCACAGCCCATCTGTGCTCACTTTCCCTCACTGCAAAACTGGGATGACATTATCTTAGCAGATGTTCTCAAGTTGAGCAGTTCGGTTCTTGGATGGCAGCACCACACAGAAAATACGTGCCTACCCTGATTAATTTCTTCTAGAAGGAACCAAGGAGTAGGAAACAAACCGCTTTTTATTTCAGTTCCTGCCTTCGAAGCAGCTGTCTAGATGAGTTATTGTTTCTCCTTTCCACCAAAACTGTCATCTTTCCAAATTTCAGGGAATGGAACAAGTTTAAGTAAGACCTGCTCACAATATTCTGCAATAATTTGAAGGTGGATTATTTAAATTCAGCATCAGGAAGAGATTCATCCCTCCCCAAACTTCTCATTAACGAGAACGTACCGGACAAAAGAAAGTATTTATGCAGTGTTGTGAGTGGGTACTTCACGTGACATAACGCTCTCTACCAAGCAAAGTAGCAGGAAACCATCACATTATTCTTTTTTAATGTGATTCATCAGCCATGGAATTAATAACCAACATTTAAATGGGACTGTAAAAAGACGGGTCAGCTGCAAGGAAGCACAGTAGGGGAGTTCTTGTGCCTACCTCCTTTGGGAGCAGGTATTTAAACCTCCCAATTCCGTGCGTAGGACGGGCTCTGTAGTGTCTCTGGCAACTCAGGAGCGCATCACCTTAAAATCAAAGCACAACAAACGCGTCCAGCTGAATGGCAGACAGCCCTTTGGGTTTTTTTTTTTCCTTTCACAGACACATAGGGGTGCTTTGAGCACCCAAAATCCACACTGGGGGCCAGAATTTGTTCTGTTCTTCGACAGAAGGCCAAGGCACGCCGGGGCTTCGGCCGGTCTCTGCCCCACGCAGGCAGGGTGTGCAGCACGGCGAGCCTGGCGCGATTCACAGCTGGTTACGGTGAGCAACAAAGAAGGAAGGAAGAGATTAAAAGTGACTCATTTCCCAGGTGAATTCTCAGGCAAACAACAAAAAAAAAAACCAACAAAAAAAAAAAGAGACAGACTTGTCAGCACCAGTGGATGGTGAAGACACTGATGAAATGTTACATCTGTCTCCTCTTACGCGGCAGCGGTGATGCTACTGCGACGGATCTGAGCCCCACTTCGTTTTAAATCCAGTTCTGTTCAAATATTCATGTGCTAGGCAGCCAAATCAACACGGCATCAGCTTTTATTTATACTGCCTTCTCCAGGGTAAAATGAAAACCCTCAATAACCCTCATTTTAATAAACAAAGCTCAGAGAAACTGAACACCAAGGAGCTGAGCCACTCGGTTACGCTTTGCCTCCGCATCAAAATCAAATTCTGTTTGAAATTGTGACAGCAGGCTCCACCAGCTCGATAAACGTTACAGTGGGACCACACAGGGCTGTGAGGCAGTTCCTGGGCAGTAACACAGTGAATTATCTGGCAGAATAACAGAGTGAATAGCATCTGGCTGGTGTCACGCCACAGCGTAACACCATGACTAGCACCACCTGCTCAGACAAGAGCAGGGAAAGAGAAGAAAAGGTTAGGGAAAAAAAAAAAGGTATCGAAGTGGATAAAGCACCTGCTCAGGTTATTTAACCAGTCCAGAATTGGCTAAAAAGAAATCAAAAGGAGATGCAAATGCTCAAATGTGTAATATCTATTTTGGGTAAATGAAGTTTTGCCTTGCATTGGATTAATACGAGGCCTTACCTGCAGCGCACAGACGGCTTTCTCTGGGTGTTGCTGCTCTGTAGGAAACAAGACAATCATTAAAAGCTCTGATTTCACCCACCCTTGGAAACACAATATATCTGCCCAACCTCCTTGGACAAAGGCTTACAACCCAAGTCCCTCAGACACACAGAGATCCTATTAGTAAGGAGACTTTCTCCACCTTCTACAGCCCTTTCAGCTCCCAGACATCAGCTGAAAGTCTTCCCTCTACAATTAAAAAGATTTTCCTTGGCAAAAAGTGTATTTTTTTTTTGTCCCGTATGTTTTCTGACACCGTCAGCAGAAGCAACAGAGTGGTTTTAATGCCTTGTACTGTGTTTTTACTTACTGGGTTTGACTCCAGACCACTCACCTGCCGAGCGCAAACACCTGCTTCAGCAACTCTCCCTTCTTCAAGCACAGCACCTGCAACGAGCCACCACAGTCAAAATGCAAACACTACACCAGACACTCAGCGAGTTTCCACCAGCGCTTCCCAGGATACACCCATCCCCCTCTGAACACACCAATAACCCTCCAGATCTCTCCACAGCCTCCAGCCTCTATCACTCCCCCGAAAACTGCCGCAGCACAGAGCGAGGGGATGAAGGAGGTGCAAGATGGTGACTGCGGTAACCTTCTCGTGCACCCCCTCACTTTGCTGCAGGATCCAACAAGCTGAGGTGGAAGGCCCTCCCCCCCCTCCGTTACAGATCACATTCACCCCTCGCACCCGTCCCACTGCCTCCACGTTACAAGAGCTGCGTGAACAACCCTCGTGCCCGTTCCTGCACCGCACGGACGGAGAAAAACACAGCTCACCCCTCACCAAGGCAGAGCGAAGCCAAGAGCTCTGCTGTTGCCACAACCCTGGCAGGAACCGGGGTAGGGGGATAATCACTGATATCCCCAAAAAGAATGACCAGAAGGACAGGGAGGACCGGTCGCAGGGAGGCTGTAGGGGTCCCTGTGCTGCTGGGTGACCCCTGGGTGCCTGAGGAGGGGGTTGGGGGGGTGTTTGAGGGGAGGCTGTAGCGGTCCCTGTGCTGTTGGGTGACCCCTGGGT